AAAAAAACTTATTATCTTTTCGTCTTTGCTCTATTCTTGTTAACACATGAATAAGCAAATAGGGGCAGCTGAAGATACTCATTTTTTTCATTTAAATATTATTTATATTATCATTATTATTATAATTATTATTATTATTTTATTATTAATAAATCATTACCGGCCCAGTTACAGGACCCAACTGGCCCAAACCCATTAGGAACCCTAAACCCAATTTAGGGTTTATATCATCTAACCCTAGCCGCCTCAGCATCAAAGCCGTTGGATCTGAGAGATCCAACGGCCCACACTCATCCAGAATGAACTCTAGGGTAATGATACCCTAGGGACCACGCGGCCGCCGTTCGCCAACCTCTGCTACCATGCTGCCACGACGCCCACCGAAGGATCCAGAAGCCCAAGCCATAGCCGCACACGTTGCCCTCAATGGTGAGTCACCACTGGAAGTTCGGTGACTCACCGAACTCTACTCTTTTACCCGGTCCGAGACAAGCGTCGGTGATGGCTATAAAGCCACCACCGAACCTGCAAAGAAAGAAGGGAGGAACCAACAGCCACAGAGCAACCAAACAGAGAGCAAAGATACAAAAAAAAAATAGAGACCAACTCACAACAACCAGCAATCCAACCGAGAAGAGAGAAGGAAGAGTTTACCTTACCGAAGAACTCCAAACGGCGCCTGAGAACCAAAAATACCGAAGGTATTTTCCTTAGATCTAGGAAAACCCATAACTTTTTAGGATAAAAGAAGGGTGAAATCGGGTTTACGGTACTCGGATCTAGGTTTTGGGAAATTTTAGTGTTTTTCGACCACCGAAAAATGGTGGCCGACGGTGGGGATTACGGCGGCAGACGGCTGCCGCCCGGTGACCAGCTTCCCTCCGATGAGGGAAGCTAGAGAGAGACGAGAGAGTTTTAAACTCTCTCAGTTTAGAGAGAGAGTAAACTGAGAAATGAGAGAGCTGGCCCTTCGGGCCAGCCGTTTCAGGCTTAAATAGCCCTTCCCGAACGACGTCGTTTTGGGGAGGGCTATTTGTATAATTTTTAAATGTTAAACCCTGTCCGTAGTCCCTCTATTTTATATGTTTTACATTTTAGTCACTGAATCAAATTTATAATCCTTTTAATTCGGTATCTAAATTTTATTTATTTATATTTTAGCCCTTAACCGTAATTATAAATATTTTAGATAAAATATGTATTTAGTCCTTTAGTTTTAATAATTAATATTTTAATCCCGAATACATATTTTTAATTTATTTTAATCTGATATTCGAATTTTATATAATTTATTTTAGTCACTAAATTAATAAATGGGTAAAATAGCATGTCTAATCCCTATAATTTTAAATAATTAATTATGAATTAAGTATTTAATTTTATTAGATTATAATTTAGTCCTTAAGTTTAATATTTTCATTCATTCTACAAGCTTATTACTTTTTACATTTTAATATTATTTTTTTAATTCCTTTTATTTTAAATCATTATTTACAATATTATTATTATTATTATTTATTATTTTTATTATTTATATAAATAAATAAATATATATAATAAATAATATTTGTTTATTCGTTAAAATCCTATATTTCATAAATTACTTTTAATAATCATATTTTAATTTATTTATTTTTCAATATTAAGAAATGGCATTCTTAAAATAACTAGATGTCCATTTTCTGATATTTTTAAATAAATAAATATCCTATTTTTTAAAATTATATATTAATTGTTTATTTTTTTTAATATCGAAGAAAAGAGTGTCTTAAGGCACCTAGAAGTTTTTTTCTGATATTTCTAAATAAATAAATATTGTATTTATAAATATATAAATTAATATTTATTTCATAATTATAATTTTGAAATAATAGGATTATAGATTAAATATATATTGAATTTTTTAATTTCTAATAATCGATACAATTTATAATTAAAAAGTATCAATTTTGGGCGTTGTAAGGGTGCTAATCCTTCCCTAAACGTAACCGACCACGAATCCCTTTTTATTATTAAAAAGAATGAATTTTTGGTTAAAACGCATATCAGTTTATCTTTTAATTGATGTTTTCTTAAAAACTCTTTTAAAAGATGATTTTTAGGTATTCGACCAACCTAACCCAAAAGGCCGATGGCGACTCCCAAATTATTTTAAAAACTATTTATTCACATCAATTTTCCCGCCAAGTAAAAAATTTATGCCCGGACGAAAACCGGTTACGACAATAACATTAAGGTGGAAAAGAAGAAACTAGTATACAGAAAGTTCTATGGCCGAGGATAATATCCAGGGATCTCAGAATCGAAAAGAATTATCATACAAAAGCATTTCGACATCACTTACAAGAACTTCAGGTGTATGATTTGCAATCAACAGTTCAGTATCGCACAACCATAACATTCTATAAATGGAATAGAGCTTATAAATTCAGACCAATATGTCATTTAAAATTGTAAATGTAAAGCTTAAAAGTTCTTAGCCGCAGCACCAGGATTGATCCGTTTCTATCCAACTGAATAGGAAGAAGAATAAGTTCAACACGAGCTAACAATTTTCATATTCTTTAGCAACAATGACAAATTCACTAGAAGAAAAAACAGCAGTTTCACTCTCCCAAATGAAGAGAATTGTCTGTTGCAGGAATGTTGTCCTGAACTAAAATCTGTCTGGTCAGCTGAGCACCCATCCAATCACTTGCATGCTCTATCTTCAGACAACTGGATTTCGTCTCCTGTATTTTTTCCATATCACTAGCAGCAGTCGGTTCAAATAATATTAACCAAATATCTTCATTCTTCGGCATAAAAGATGTTATCAAATGAAGCTGGTGATGACTGGAAAACATGGAAGTTGATATATGAAAACCCATCTCCCCAGTAAATATTATATTTGAGCATATAAAAAAAGAAAAATAAAGCAAATAGAGAAATCACCTCCTGGGTTGGATTCAAACCGGCTTTGAGCTCACATGCACTCTTTTTCCTCCATTTAGTTCTAGGGAGATTTATAACAAGGCCCCTAGCAATGAGTTATATCCTTATTAATAAGAATCTCTCTTTTCTAAAAAAAAGACGCTAGGAAAAAATCAAAGGAAATATTTGAAGGTAAAATTCATCGTTGAGCAATGGATTAGCTAAATAGTAAACAACAATAACCAATGACATGTATACCGACCTATAAAGGAAATATGAGAGAACACAGGTCATTACAAGACTGGCGAGCGTTGCAGGGGAGTACCACATCACAACATATGAGGCATTGCACTACAATATACTCCTCAATTTTCCTTGATACAGTTTCCACCATAACAGGAAGAGCTGAAATGATAATTGAAAATTTTACTTCTAAGGCAAATCAACATAGGAGAAGAAAGCCAAAAGAACGAAAGACAATAATAGGAAAAAATAAATTTAAATCTCAAATTGATATGTAAAATAAAGCATACTACAAGAAGATTGAAAAAGAAAAAAAAGAATGAAAGACAAAAGCTTTGGTTGCCGCTAAAATCGGATGTGATTTTTGTAGTGGTGAATTCCAGAACTGGTTAATTTCCCTTTTCCTTTCGGGAACCCTCTTCTGTAGGGATTCCTATTCTATTTCTATTGACCCTTTTCAATCTATAACACAAAAAGTAAACAGAAGCAATGTAAAAGGAAAGGGAAAGCAGACGAGAGACCAAAGTTAGAGGTAAAAGGAAAGGAAATGAAAGGAAACGAACATTATGTACAAGCAGAACTTCAGGGATTTTCCCTCTGGGAAAATCAAAATCCAGGATTCAAAATCCTGATTCAACAATGCATTGGCAAAGTTATCGCCATTTCCACGACTAGGTTCAGTGAGTGTCAACAAACTGAAACGTTGGCCAACCGGTCTGAGATCAGAATTTTGGTTTAAGTCGGTAGAGTCATCAAGAGAAGACGAAGATGAGGTAGAATCCCACGACGTTTAGTTTTACCCTCTGGGAAAATCAAAATCCAGGATTCAAAATCCAAAAGTAAAATCAAAACGGTGCTCATTTTTGTTAATGTTCACTCCTTCACTACAGCAAAACTGTACATTTGCGGCATTTTTTGTTTTTACTTATAGCGGCGTTTTTAAGCGCCGCAAAAAACACATGCTGCGCTATGACAAACGCCGTAAAAAGCGCCGCTGAAAATAACGTCACTAAAGTTCGCGGCGTTTGGTAACAAAAAACGCCGCAATAGGTAACGATATATAGCGGCGTTTGTTGGACAAACGCCGCAATAGGTGTTGATATTTAGCGGCGTTTGTCCAACAAACACCGCAATAGGTGTTGATATTTAGCTGCGTTTTTCCAACAAACGCCGCAATAGGTGTTGAGATTTAGCGGCGTTTTTCCCACAAACACCGCAAAAGATCTGGTATATAGCGGCGTTTTTTTAGAACAAACGCCGCAAAAGGTCATATCTATAGCGGCGTTTTAAGATATAAACGCCGCTAATTACCTCTCTATAGCTAAAAGAAATTGATTTTGCAAATTAAAACTAATTTGTCAAATGTTGTTTTCTACTCTTTTATTACCCAAATTTAACCTGTAGCATTTTCCAATAAACTTGACATCCATAACAACAAACTTAAAATCCATAAAAAGAAAAATGAAATCCATAATAATAAATCAAAGTTTACATTAACGTAAAATATAATGTAGTTCAACATTATTAACTATAATAAACAATAATATCTAAGATATTTTGCTTCTAATCTTACACATTCTTCAAAACTCTTCGTCACAATGAGGCGCTTAAATTCAAAGAGATAAATCCAGTTTATATGGGAAAACAATGATACAGAGCTAGTATCGTCCTGTCATTTCTTGCACAGATATTTTATTTCATGAGGTCTTACTCCAATTGGCATACCACTTGAAAAGGTCCCATCCATGGCAATGCAAAACCCGATCTCTAGTTTCATATCCAAATAAATCATCAGTTTATATGAAAATCCATTATATCTTACGTTAAAAAAGTTAACAACACATTTATGCATAGTCAGTCCCAGCAGTCAACAACTCTATGGCATGGGCAACCATCATGATGATAAGAAAAATATAGAGATAGATTTTAATAATTGTGCAGAAACATCCAAGCTTGAATTTCATGATAACTTCTAACAGCTTATCGGACCAAACATATTTTAAATCAATAGCACCCAGAAAAAGGCTCCAAAACTACATTCCTAACAAACAGAAAGATATAAAGATGGAAATATGACAGCTTACCAAGGACCAAATCCTTTCAAGCATTCTGCTAAAACAACCTGAGAACAGACAAAAGCACAATCTAACTTAAAGATAAGGAAGCAAAAAGAGAATTTAACGAGATTGTAAATTAATATTTTATCCCCATTTGTCACCTCAGTATTTTCCCCAAGAATTTCAATTATAAGCCCCATCAACTTATGTGCAGAGGCCATTGGTTTCAATTGAATGCTTTTCTGTGCCAAACTGTACATGCTTTCTAACCCCTAACAGAAGAAAATAAATAAACGAGATATGTAATACAAGGAAAGTACATACCACTGTGAATGGCCTGATGTATAACAAGTGAGAAATATATAATTCTATCCAATGGCATGTTGCAGAGCAGAGACTATTAGCATTACCCAACATTATTTGTAACATACTTCTCAAACCCTGATGAGTCTGCTGTTGAGCACACTGAACATTATTTGTAACGAGTAGCAGCATTTGTAACATACCTCTATTGTTTTTATCAGCCACATTCCACAAGTTCATCTATTCAATGGAACATCTCAGAGATTAAAATTTCTACAGTTCTTGAACAATTAATTATATAGATTATTCCATTAGAAGAAAAAAAAATACATTCAGCACCTACTAATATAAATCAATTTTATCTTTGTTACTACCTCATGTTTGCAATAGATTTAGCAGTAACATCAAATCCATATCTCATATTCCATTTCGTACAGAAAAAACATGAAAATCTATCCATAAAAAAGTTTTGCAATACTAGAAAGATCCTACCAGTAGTTGAGGGTTCAGGTCAAAACCCCACACAATATCGGACCAACCGAGGCGAATCTAGCAGACTTATCTTGTGTCCATAATGAGAAAATATTTTCTTCTATTGAAACATCCTTTGAACCGAATGAAAGCTGACAAAATAATCTCCAGAGCCCCAACTAGCAAAACCGGGTTCTTCCAACGAATACAAAGTAAATTATATTTATCATAATAATGATCATTATTTCATCAACATCCTATGCAAAAAAGAGCAAGCAGATTTACATGTCGGAAAGGGTGGTAATGTACCACATGGCACACTTCTAAATGATGATCTAAAACAGTTTACCATGATTAATGCATAATAATGTACTGATTCAATGGACTTGCAAGTGATACATATATGCCTCCATAAGAAAGATTTTTAAATGTTACAGTATGGTTCCATGCAAGAAATAAAAAAGTGACAATGAAAAGAAAGGAAAAAGAAGTCATGAATCCTAATACCCGCCATGCACATAAACATGAGTTGATGGCTTATAAAAATTTGAACTCCTGGAGTAAAGGACCCACTCCCATCAGGGTACATGATGTGATCTTGACTAGCAATACCCAACCCAAATTTATAATGGTCTTTGTGTTTCTTTTGAGCCATCTTTATCTTAGACGATAGGATGCACTAAGGACCTAATTTATACGTGGATCAGGATGCAAGCCCACGTACCAATCTTTACGAACTTTTATACGTGGTACCTCTAATTTATCAGTCATCAAGTACCCTGAAGCCCTAAAAAACCAAGCCTTGGACAAATTAGCATTCCAACGCCACAATAATGAGTTCCTCTACCAAATAGAGATCATTTTCTCTAAAGTGCCATAATTAAGAAAAACAACCTGAAAAAAAAACACTTCACCATTATAGGTAGCTAGAGCGATTTCCCTCACACCATCTTTATCAATATCATACAAGAGAGGACTAGAATGCACGGTTGACTGGTGAAAAGCAGGCCAACCTGACAAATTATTGAAAACTCAATGACATCAACTTCGATCGGATTGCTCTAGATTCATCGATAAGTTTGATTTAACATGATCTAGGGAAAGCGAAGCACTAGTACCTGGCATTTTATCGCCATCAGAACCTTCTAAAACTTCAAGGTAGTGAAGAAATGAGGGAACCACTATGTCAAGCTTCCCATCACTAAAAATTACACAATCTGGCGGGAGTAGTTAAATTATTCTCTATGATGAGTTTACTCAAAAAAGATGAGCAGATTTTCGAAAGGGGAAATGAAAAGAATTGAGATTTTTAACATAGTCAAAGCATAGATGCGATGAAAACACGAACTCAAAATGTAAGAGTAAACTACCTATTGATATCAACAATTAAGGGAGTTGCATAAATGCTGGAGCTGACCTCCGATTGCCATCTAAGTTCTAAATTCTTTGGGCACTGTGTATTCAACAACGCATCCTCATCCCTACACATTCATAGACACAAAATTTGTTTTCAAATAACAATAACTCCTGTGATTGAATCGAAAATGAAAAATAATAAAAATAAAATTGAGATAGAAATGACTTACAGTTCGGGATAACCAAGCTCGTCATCGGTGGCCTTTCGTTGACGGAATTTATTATTGGAGTCATCGCCGAGCAGTAGTATGAAAGGACCCTTCAAGCAGCAACGAGTAGCAGCAGTTGTTTTCGATAAAATTAGGTTTAGAATTCAATTTCAATGGGGGAAATGCTCTCGCAGGATTTAAGTAACACCTATTGCGGCGTTTGTAACAAAACGCCGCTAATGTACTTATCATTAGCGGCGTTTTTGGATATAAACCCCGCAAAAGGATAGATATATAGCGGCATTTTTAGATACAAACGCCGCTAAATACCTTTATTTATATAAGATTAACATATTTTAAATATTTCATTTCTTCTATACATACCTAAAGTTACAACCATACATTTTAATTAAGACAGAAGTACTTATGCATAAAACTACTTAACAACAAAATACATTATAATTTAGAAAACATTAAAGTACTTATGCATAAACAGTCTTCACCATACATTATAATTTAGAAACATTAAAGTACTTATGCATAAACAGTCTTCAACATACATTATAATTTAGAAACATTAAAGTACTTATGCATAAGCAGTCTTCAACATACATTATAATTTAGAAACATTAAAGTACTTATGCATAAACAGTCTTCACCATATTGTTCAGTACAATTTAGTCTTCATTGCTCTTTCGTGGGGAAAGGACGTAGGAAAGCTGTTTTCCTTGTTTGACGATGCATCGTTAAGTTTTTCCTCCGTGTAAATTCTATATGGAGAAACTCTTCATCCATTTCACCAATAAATCTCCTACCTCCGGTTCACCAAGAAGACTCCTTGCGCGCTTTAGTGCTTCACTTGAAACAGATAACGACCCTCCACCTACAGTATAAAACTTGATTGGAGGTGCTTGGGAATTAAATCAAACATTAAAATATATTTAAACAGATGATATAAACGTTTACTTGGAGTAACAGTAGAGGCAACATCGTCTTCATTGAGGATCGATACTGCTTTTGCAATTGAAGATTCTTTCAACGCCACAGAGTTACCAAATTCGTTTCTAAACATAGGGTATTTATCCATTTCTCTATCATCATTCTCAATAAGCTTCGAAGATCTACATGCGTACGATCTATGAAATTTGAGTGACCGTACAAAAAGGGAAATATAGCGGCATAAAGATTCATAGAATTTTACCTTCAAGTAGGAGATCGGCCATGGAAGGGTATGGAGCAATATGAGTTCCTGTCGAGTCATCATCGAGTTTCGACGGAGAAACCGGACCGATAGCCTCCCAGCGATAATTTGATCCATCGTCAGAGCAAAGACGCCACGTAGACATTCCGACGATAATTTCTCTTACTCAAGGCAAGACCTGTTCTTTTTTTTCAAATATGTTAGCTGTTAGCTTTCTGGGTTTTCCCCATTTTCAGAATACCAACCAAAACAAATTGAAAAAGATCATTAGTGATAAGAGGGATCAAACCGTGGAATTGTGTTATAGTTCGTCGGTGAGAGGGCCGATTTGGTCGTCAGGATAGACAAAAGACGACGTCGCTTGGAATCGTGCGAGGGTCGTTGTTGTACCAGAGAAGAAACTATGAGGGAAGAAGAGTTGAAATGAGTTTAGGGTTTGGGTGGGAGAAAATGGAGGACAATATATTAACATTTTGCGGCGTTTTTAAAAAACGCCACTATATCACATGTTTTTTACGGCGTTTATACAAAAAACGCCGCTAATTTACCACTCTATTGCGGCATTTTGGTATAAACGCCGCTAAATGTTAAATATATTGCGGCGTTTTAGCTAAAACGCCGCTACATGTCTACTATTACGGCATTTTACTATAAACACAGCTACATGTCTACTATATTGCGGCGTTTTTACTATAAACGCCGCTATTGTTTAACCTTTCTGTGGCGTTTGTTGAAAAAGCGCCACTATATACCATCCTATGGCGGCGTTTTGTGAAAAACGCCGCTATATTTATACTCTATTGCAGCGTTTTCACAAAAAACGTCGCTAAAGTCTCAATTTGTGGCGTTTGGATTGAAAACGCTGCTATATGTAATACTTTGTGGCATTTTATCAACAAACGCCGCTAAAAACGCCGCTACAGAACAGTTTTGCTGTAGTGCTTAACTTCTAGATTTTTCTAAAGAACCAAACAGAGGAAGAGTAACCTGGAATTTTAAGGGGTTTGGCGATAAGAGGCCATGGCTGAGGCGATGATAGCCGAGAAGCATTGCTTCCATTGTCCACTGATACAAATCCACTGATGCAAAGAGAAAAAGGGGGAAGCATGCGGCGTGAACTGATAATTATCAAGGGGGAAGAAGCGGAAAAGGACGAAAATAATGGGGGGAATTAAAGACGATTTTACAGATGACATACAATTAAAAGTGTACTCTGTGTTTTTGCAAAGTTTTGGATTATGACTATTAAATATGACACATTATTGTATGTCATAAATCGTTCATATTTTAAAAAACATGATATTTTTATGACACATTTTTGCAAGTCATAAATTAGCGTGTGTCATTAAAGGTATATTTTCTTGTAGTGAATACACATAGCTTCCAGCCGAAATTTACATACATACGCATATCATATTAGGAATGGACCAAAGGGAAAATGAAGGTGACCATTTTGTTTTGACACTTTATTGGGAAGAAAACATGATTATATCTTGCTTTGCTTGTTGCAATTGATGAATGGCTATGGAGTTGAGTATATAAAAACTTATAGACCAAGACTCTAAAAGGGAATTATAGATGTTCCCTTTAGCTTTGCACAAATGGCAGGCACGTAGCTTCTATGTTTCATTGCCTAGTTTTGTTTCATAGCCTTTGCCTGCTGAGCGCCTGCTGGTTGGTTGGCCTAAACAGGATATCCAAATGTGATGTTTTATGGTAAAAGTGATTAAAAATCATGACATAAAAGCTTGTTAAACCCTTTGATGACCACCAAACTATGCGTAATTACACGGTCATTCAAGCACAGCAACTTTGACAGGAAAAGCAAAACACAAAATCATTCAACCGACAGTACCCTTTTATTTATCTGTTCCAAGAGGCCAAACTCCATATTTTTTTTTTCAAATGGAACTTGGTAATTTTGCTATATAATATTGACTATGTTGTGTATGTTTTTTTCTTTGCTTTAACCTTGGGGTACGATGAGTTGACTGAACGGGGTGAGGCATAGTATTTGCTTTGGGCAAAGCTAAAGGAAGGTTAGAGAAGAAAGGTATGATTTTGCATATTCTGAGGGAACCCCTTTTTGTGGTTACACGCTTGGCTGCTTTGGTCCCCCAATGTTTTATCTTTCATCTTTTGTGCAGCTTTCTTTTTAAGTTTTTAGAAAGAAGAAATATTCAAACAATTTATGATAGCTGCACCACCACTATCTTAACCCACGAGAAGTCCCCCCCACCCCAACACCACAAAAATTGTCGTGGGGGTTTTTGATGACATCAAGCCCACCCTGTCATGACGTTCAACCAAGTTCTCCCTGATTGCTTTCTAGTCTTAATTAGGGCTTCATGTTAATTTTCTTGAAACCATATATTGTTGCCCTAGCTAGCTAGCTATGGTGCATGGCCAGTTCGGCATGAATGGCAACCGCAAATGGATACGGTATCTATGCAAAGACAACACGTATGATCTTGTTGTGTTTTCTTTTTCATGTTATCATATGTAATTATTTGCTCATTTAGGTATCCAAGTTTCATATCCTTCAAACTTTTATAATTACTCGACGTATCCGTTTCGTCAATCACGTAAACCGATTAAATGTGCTCTATGATGGTCAAATTTATTCACCCCACTGACCTATAAATAATCATTATTATTCTAGCCATCAACACCAAAGACATGTATATGAACAATCACACAAAGTTGAATTGAAGATCTTATTCTCTCTCTTTACCAATTCAAAAGTTATCATCTTATTATATTTTCCGTTCAAATTAGAAGAGATTAACTGGTTAACGTTGTTATAAAGCACGCACTCAAAATGTGGTATGTTGGATTATAATGTTAGGAAACTACACTTAAAAAAGGAAGTTGAAACTGTGTAATATAGGAGTAAATCCAAGTTAAAAACGGGCTACAACGTTGTCAAAAGATGAAGCGACCGGGAGAAGTTCACATCAAATCGTTGTTAAAACTATTGTTACCAGAAAATCTTACAAGTACATTTTGCTTTTTAAGTTAAGCACTAATGATAATGTTTAACTAAAAAGAAAATGGATAGATTGGGCAGTGCGATCCAGATCAAGGTGATGAAACACTTAGCTGGCCTGTGACACACACACAATATACATATATATATATATATATATATCTCCCATTACCAGGCCGATCTTAATCGAAGGTAGGTAGGTTGCTGCTTATCCCTACACTTAGCTGGCCTGTGACACACACACAATATATATACATCTCTTTTGATTTTCAAACTTTTATTATTTATCAAATTGATCTAAATGTGGCTGAACATTAATGGATGGTTAGGATGATGTTAATAATTTTATCTTTTTTTTTATCATGTCATCAATTTTATTGATAAATGTTAAAAATTATAATAAAAACAATTGATGCCAATATTCCAATACAAATAAAAGTAATTAATTTTAAAAAATGAATATGTGATCGAAAAGAAAATAAATAACTAATACCAACTTAACAACGTTATCAGTGTCATGATATATTTAGGTCAATATGACAGAAAATTCATGTTTAAGGATGAAAAGATATAAAATAAAAAATTACTAGCTAAAATAATTAAACTAGTAAAAGTAAATCTAAAAGATCATTCCATCTTAATTTCTGATAATATAATTGCATATGGATTAAATATATACTATCAGATCATGAAATATATATGTATAATCAATTTGTTTATCTCCTTAACATTTTTACCTTTTTTTAACA